ATGGGATTTGCTGTCACAGCGGCCCGCTGTCGCCATAGGCTGTAGCTAACTGACAGCAGCAACTAATAACAAAGATGGTGCAGGCACTGCACAGTAGAAAAGAGTAACTAAAATCAGTGATCATCTGTCCGAACAGTCAGTTAACTGAGTTCACTCTAAAGTCCACTATATAGTCCTCGCTCCATGTAGTGATTGAGGGATTTAGGGGTTAGGGCGGACGTTCGGACAAAGTAAGCTTGTATGAGCTATGAGAACAGCACCTTTTAAACTGAGCGTGCACACAGAGAAATGGGCTCCTGCCTGCTTTTGCACGCGTTTAATAGAGCATGTACAGAGTTGCGCATGTGCATTTTTTTAAGTGTAGAGGGCGATTCTTTTTTAAAAATTCGCAAAAATCCTTCACTATACCTTTAATACAAAAATGGCTAAACTACAATTGAAATATGAGATAATAATGGAACTATTGGAAAAAGATTGATTAAAACCACAAATACACTGGATTTGTCATTGACCCCCCCCAAACTGATTGTCATAGTGCTGACATGCATGAGCCTGATAAACAGGTTTTGTTGATTTCCATCAGCTCTAAGGCTGTAAGGTGTGGCTGGTGGGGGTCAGCATACCAGTAATCTCCTTCCTGACAAGAACAGAAGCAGGAAATAGTTTGAACTAACTGGAAGTTACAAAAGATAAGAATCATTAAAAAAAACAAAAGTTGGATTAAATAAAATATGATGGCTGAAAATTTCTGACCTGCTGATCTTTATTCTTTACCATGACTAAGCAAACTATGCCTGGATGTTTATGTTTTTATAGGTTCCTCACAGTAAAACAAAGAGAGGAGATAATTAACAGAATGCCAACTGCAGGTTTGATGTATTAATATGCAATACACATTGTTTTTATACATTCTTACAGAACTTAACATCCATATTATTAAGATGATTCTAGCCGTTTATGTTTGGACTAAATGGTAGCCTATATAAGAACATGGCTATACCTTTACTACAGATATTATTTATTAAAAAATAAAAAATAAAAAACTGGTTTATTTGCATCAAAGAGCTGCAGATCTGAGCGCTTCCGGTTGCATCATTCTAATGACTTTATGCACCGAATAGCTGCTAAAAGTCAAGGAGGAAGAGATTATTCATATTTCTTATCAAACAAAGGACGTTCAAATAGGAGTGATTTTTGCATTAAAGCGGGAATCTGACGGATAATAAAAACTAACATAAATTTTAAAGTAGCAGCTTTTTCTACATTTGTAACCAAGGAAAGAAAGAAATAATCCTAATTAGATTAAAACATGATTTAAAATGTTTCTCTAAAGCTTTGCTCATTTGTCCCCAGATTAGTTAAGAAAAGCGAGCGGTGCTATAAATATATTCAAAGCTGTAATAGCAAACAATTATCAGCAAAAATGGGATTTCTCACCTCGAGTCGCCTTGAATGAGTGTCCTCCTAGCCACGATGGCTGCTTCCTTATCTTCTTCTAGTTCTTCTTGGTGACGTCAAATGGTGGTAGGCGAGATAAACTTGCAGTACCGCCACCTACCGGTATGACTTGTGGAAAAAAGATGACTAAAATAATAAGATTACCGATATAAAAACTATTCATCATTAACAATATCCTAAACTTGTCTTATTCTTGATTTAATAAACTACGTCCACCTTCTGTCCCTTTTATCCTTAATTTTTTTTACAGTGGTGGAAAGTAGGAAAGAACACTTACTTTTAACTTTCACTCCACTACATTTCAAAGTCAACTATTGTACTTTTTTCTCCACCCCATTTCGAGGAAGCTGCTAGTTCCTTGTTCCTGCTGGCTTTGTAATCCACTGTTGCTATTTCATTTTATTTTTTTCTTAAAATGCAGTTTCATCATGTCAGATTGCTGCATTTAGGACTGAATTAGGACACCACTGTTTAGAGATTTGCAAAAAATTCCACAAATGTGAGAAACTCAGGGCTGATATTACCACTGGTGTCAAAAATACACACATTTGTTACTTAAGTAGAAGTATAGATACTGTAGTTTAAAAAAAAAGTTGAAGTTTCAACTTGACCTCTTTACTCAAGTAAAAGTGAAAAAGTATGTGCTCCAGAAACTACTTAAAGTATAAAAGTATAAAGTAAAATAATAAAAACAAAAAACAGCCAGATGCCACTATATGAATTGAAAGCTCAATTTTTCAACTGTTTTGAAAAATTGTTTTAAATAGAGCCAAGGATGAGGGAGGTCTTGTTGGTCTCCGTCTCCCGATACGCTCTCGCCTGTGTCCAACCTTTCAGACATTTCAACGTCTTTTTCTGAATCCTACATCATAGCATGACATAGACAATTCACCCTTGCAGTGGCTTCTGATGATTTCCTTTAGCTAACCAATGAGTGTTTGCGTTATATGACTCATCCAATTACTAGTTTTCACTAGATGTGGATGGCGCCAATTATCTGCATTGGATGGCGCACATGACGTGAAATAAATATTTATAAACATTTAACTGAAGCCAAGAGTAACGAGTAACGTTGGTTTTAAAAATGTAAGGAATAGAAAGTACAGATACTTTTGTGAAAATGTAATGAGTAGAAGTAGGAGGAAAAATAAGTAATGGAGTCAAGTATAGATACCTAAAAAGTGTAATTAAGTACAGTAACAAAGTATTTGTACTTCGTTACTTGACAACTCTAGATATTACTTGTAGTTTATTATTTTATTAAGGCACTAGTTGCTGCCATGTGGCCAAGTTCTGTAGGATGAGTTCTCAAATCAGAGTTATGGTTTCTTTGTGATAATAGATTCAACCTTAAACTTCTATTTTGTAGAGAAAGTATAAGAATCAAGACACTCCTGTTTTCTTTTTTGTTTTTGTTAAAAAGAAATAATAATGAAATTAGATATTTGTGGCAGCTTTTATTAAGTTCTTTTCAGGTGGTGATGAATTGGTAGCAGTGGTTCTATGCATCAATACATCAAGTGGTTTCTGGAAGTTACAAGGTTCTTTAAAATTATACAGAAATGTACCAGTATTAAAAATCTAATTTGTATTTTTTAATACTTAAGTGATTTTAAATATATGTACTTTTGAATACTTAAGTATTTTCAATACTTCATCTGAGTAAATGTTTAACTGAGTAACTTTTATTTGTAGTTCAGTAAGATTTGACTGTTAGTATCAATACTTTTATTCAAGTACCACTGTTGAGTAGCCTACTTTGTCCACCACCGATTTTATTTCACCTTCTAACCTATCTATATATTTGTTAAATCACTATCAATTTACTATTAGACATCTTAACTGATTTTATATTATTAATGCCTGAGCTAATAACCAGATGCTTCTGTTCTTCCATCCATCTTCTCCAACCTTGTAACTTTGTTTTCCCAACTAACTTCTTTGAATCCCAAAAATTTTTCAGCTGCTCTTTCAATGATTCTGATTTTATATGTCTTATGCTTGACTATAAAATTAGTTCCTCTGGTGTCGGGGTGAAGTTTTCTTCTCTTTCTACTTTGCTTTGCTTTTAAACGTGATTCTGTGCTTGATTCATTTCTCATGTCATTTGTCCTTGAACTCTCTTCAGTGCTTCTTTTCCACATATGTTGGGTTGTTTTGACGTTTTGTCCATAAACTGAAGTTAAAAGCTTTCAGCTGATCCAAAATGCTGCAGCCAGAGTTCTTATGAAAATTAAAAATAGAGATCATATTTCTCCTATCCTTGGATCTTCATTGGTTTCCTGTTAAATCCAGAATAGAATTTAAAATCTTCCTTCTCACATATAAAGCCTTAAATGGACAAGCTCCATTCTGAAAGTAGAAAGGGAGGCAAATCCTTTAGTTATCCGGCTCAATCCCTTTTTGATAAAGCTTATAGTTAGGGTGGCTCAGGTTATCCAGAGCTATCTCTATAGCTATGCTGCTATAGGCTTAGACTGCTGGAGGACACAGTGACCCCTTTTTTCATCATTCTGCTTCATTCTATTTCTATTCTCCCATTCTCCAGTAATTGTTAGCTTAATCTCTAACATTATGTAATTAAGTAAGTAAGTAAGTAAGTAAGAAGTAAGTAAGAAATGTTTATTTATATAATACCTTAATACAGAGGTCACAAAGTGCTTCACAAAATTACAAAACATAGAAAAATACATTTACATTTACAGTCACAAAAGACAACCCTACTAGAATTAAAATACTTTCTTAAACAAATAGGTTTTCCGTTTGCTCTTAAAAACACCAATAGAATCCAATAAGCGCGAGGAAAGTGGGAGATCGTTCAAGAGAACCTGTGCAGCCGGCTGAAAGTAGCAATCTCCCCTGGTCCTGTAACGAGTACGAGGGACTATGAGCAGGTTCTGGTCCTGAGACCTCAGCCTCCGAGAGGCAATATAAGTCTCTAATGTAGGAGGGAGCCTGACCGTGGAAGGCTCTCATGGTCAGCATACCCAGGATTTTGCTCTCTCATGTGGCTATTTGGCTGTGACACCATCCTGGAGAGAAATATCAGCTGTGCTGCTGCCATCAACACCTTTGTGAATAGATGTTTGAGCTCAGCCTGTTTTTCAGTGTAGTCCTGTTTCTCTGACTGTGACTAACAGGATGTGCTCTCTTCATCCTCTGACATTGGAGCTTGCTCGGTGCTCGTTTGCCTGGCTGTGTGTTTCCTGGACGAGGCCGCCTATGGAGCTGGCTGACAGTTGCCTTTTGTATCTCTGCTTCTTTTTGTATGTCTGCTTCTGTCTCATTGAACCCCAGTCAGCCTCGGCAGATGGCTGCTCATACAGAGCCTGGTTCTGCTGGAGGTTTCTTCCTGTTTAAAGGGAGTTTTCCTCCCTACTGCTTGAAGTAGGGACATGCTTGATGTGAGGAATTGCTGAAGGGTCAACGAGTCGATGCAATCAACTTGTTTTTTTCCGTAGATAGGAAACTTTAAACCAATCTGACTGTATTATTTGGTTGAAATGTCTCTGTAAAGTACCTCGAGATGAGATGTGTTGAGAACTTGTGTTATGTAAATAAACTAAATTTGAATTGAACTGTATTTCCACTGCTTTCTTTCTCGCTAAACATCCTCTATAGTAAACTCTGTGCAGGCTTTCACCATTGCAGCACCTTTCTACAGCTTCTTCCCTGCACTCCTTGATTCTGTGTTCATCTCCTTTGTTTCCCCTAAAAACTACTACGTGCCAAAGCGCTGATACCTGTAGCACCTGAGTGGAGGTGGAATGAACTGCTTGACTGGGAAGCTAAACCTATTTTATCTCTTTCTAGTCAAACTGGCTCTAAAAACTCAACCAGCAGGGACATGCTTGCCGCTCCTCTGACTTCTATATTTATTTATTTTGTTAACCTTGGCTCCAAAAAGGTTTATGATTAATCAATCTAAATCCTGGTTATTGTATTCCTGTCACTGCTATCAATGTTTTATTATCTCCAATTACTTTTATCTCTATCACCTCCCTCCCACCCCCACCCCCGTGGTCAACATCCAAAACCTGTTTTTGTTGGGTTTTTTGCTCCTCAGTTTTGCAAATTATCAGCAAATTTCTATCTCTTAGCTCCCTCACCATTTGGATTCTCATTCTTTTATTTATCTGGAAATCATTAGGGGCTCAAAGGACTGTTATTCCTTAGCACTGAATCCAATTATTATTTTTATCTCTTCTCTTACTACCTTCCTTTGCACAACTCTTTCTTCATCTAAACTGCTTATTCTTCTAATTCTCGTTTATATCCTTCACTCAAACAACGTTTCTCCCTTTTACCTCCTATATCTCTCCCTTTCCAATTTGGAACTGTTATCCAGCCTTTTTCATCCTCATCTACCTGACTTGCCATTTTGTTCTGGCCCATATTCGCCGGCCTGTTTTCAAGAAAGACTATGTCCAAAAGGCTTCTCCCTGCTAACCACTTTTTGTCATGAACCCAGCTTTCCAGTTCTCGAGTGTGTAGTTCATGATAGATTCATCTTTATATTACAAAAATCGAATTCTTTATAATGTGGTTCTATATAAAACTTTATAAACACCCTCCTGAATGCAGCAGAAGTCTATCCACAGACATCAATAAGGTCCTCTTGAACCTTGGTAACATAAATAAGGATACACCAACCATGAAGGTGTGTCCAAACTCAATTGTTAAGGTAAGACATGTTTACTTATATTGCACAAGTCAGTAAAAGGACAACTCATTGGGTTTTACAGGAACAAAACCCTCACACAAAGAGTACTTTTTAATTCAGGGCAGAGGAAATCTATAATGATTCATTTAGATTTAAAAGAAAAGTCAAAATAAGCTCTAAACAAATTCAAATTTAAATGAGCTCAGAAACTTGAGAAACCCGAAATAACAAAGAGGTCCGAAAGGTCAATATCTTTGCAACAAATCTGTAAAGTGTTTCATGTTAAGGCATTTGTTAGTTCAGAAGAAAAAAAAAAATAATAATAAAAAAAA